GCTGGGATTACAGGCACGTGCCACCATGCCCAGCTAATGTTTTATATTTTTAGTAGAGACGGAGTTTCACCATGTTGACCAGGATGGTCTCGATCTCTTGACCTCGTGATCCACCCGCCTCAGCCTCCCAAAGTGCTGGGATTATAGGCGTGAGCCACCGCGCCCGGCCGAGAACAATGTTTTAATGATTAAGACTAAATGCTAAATTACTGTTGCAATTTTTTAAAAACAAAAATTTTAAATCAGATACTCTTCTCCTGGTTTCAAAATTTACATTAGCATATTTCAGTGTTCTTAGTAACACTGCTATAAACAAACCCAATTTATTCGATGTAGATAATTGTTTTCGTAGAATACATTAACATTTTGATGAACACTAGTGTTTTACTACTAAACTAGCATTTCCTTCAAATAAATACTAGATTAATTTATTGAGTAATTATCCCATAATTATGCATTTTGTTTTGTAAAATTAGAAACATATAGGGCAAATAACTAAATTGATTTAAATAGTTCCAACTTAAAATAAATGACCTTAATAATCATAATGGAAAACAAATGGTTTTATGTTTTACAGATTTACTGTTTTAATATTAGAAAAAGTATAAATGGCGACTGGATTCTATTTTTTGGAAAACACTTTACTAGTAGATGAACATAGTATTATATAGTTGATTTAGTTTGGTCATAAAGGTTATAAAACTAGTTACATTGTGAAGCATTATTTTAAATATTAACAACATTGGTTCAATTATTTCAGCTATATTAAACTCAGCTCACTTTTCCCATATACGAATTACATTGGTTGTTCAGTAATTAGTCTTTATAACAATAATGGAAATACTGTGACTTTAGTTATATTATAATCTACATTCATAAAATTTTCTCTAGATTCTGAAGAAGACTACCTTGAAGTCAGCATTCCAACAGACCTACAAGTAAAACATTCTGGGGAAATAAGCGAGAGAAAGGAAATTGAAGAACTGTCAGAAGCTTCAAGAAACACCATGCCACTAGCAGTGGTGCTTCCCGCTGAAATTCCATGTGAGGTCAGTAAAGATACCTTGTTACCTAAGTGACCCCATTGTGTTTTGGTGGTGACTGTTTGTAGAGACAGGATCTCATGATGTTGCCCAGGCTGGTCTTTAACTCCTGGTCTGGAGCAGTCCTCCTGCCTCAGCCTCCCAAAATGTTGAGATTATAGGTATGAGCCACTGCAACCAGCCCAACAGTTATTTTTTAATGGAGGTTGTATTTCACAAGAATGCAAGCTCCAGCATAGCTGGCATTTTTGTCTCCTTTGTTCATGGCTATCCTCTGAACCTAGATAATTAGTAGGCATTTGATATATACTGGGTAATAATTGAACTAATAGGCATTTGACACATAATTGTTGAAAAATTAAATAGTGAAGGTTATATGGAGGCTTAATTTTATCAACTGTTACTTCACATTTTGCAAATAGATGTACAATTGCAATATCTATCAAGCTAATTAAAAGAGGATCTATTTTCCTGCAGGGAAACATACCCTTGGATAGAATTTTAAAATACTTTATTTTTAGGACCACACCAACTTTTCAATGATGAAACTTGTATCAAAGGCTGACATAAAGTGGAAATACCATAAAAGTTAGAAGAGATTGTCCTTCAGGAAATAAGAGTATCATGTGGGAGGATGATTTCTGGGCAGGTGACTGTGGGAATATATGTTCCTAGCATGTCTTCCTCCTAAGTCTTACTTGGAATGAACCGTTAAAATAAGCCTTTCCAAATCTCTGACTACATAATTAGGACAAGAAAAAGATGCTGGGCCTCAGTTTGTGGCATCCTTGAGTAGAAAGAGCCAGAGATACAGGAGAGCCTTCTGGGAGCTGCCTAAAGGAGTCTTTCTGACAGAAGCCAGTGGCAGGGGCTCACTGACCACTTTGGGTGGGTCTCTTGATCCTACTAGTACCAGTGGTCCTGATGGAAGTGGAATATCCTGTGTAGATGGGTATAGTTTAGTTTCCTCACCCTCACTCTGTAGACCCTTACCCCATGCCTGAGCAGAAGAATTGCTGTTTTAAGCTACTTGCTATTAGTTCCAGAGGAACAAAAAATTGTTTTGACACTACCTTTGAGACCCCAGGAAACTGAACTATACAGGTCTGAGGAAACTGATACAGAGCATCAGGCAAAGAAAAATTACAAGTATTCAGAACTTAAAGGAAGGAGATCAGACTAAACAGCCAGAACTCATGGCTCCTGCTGAGTCAGAAACAATGGGAAAGACAGAGAAGAAGTGTATTAAAAGAAAAATGGCAACTACTCTCAAGTAGATGAAGTCAGAGAAAAAAAGAAAACCCTCTGAAACTAAAAGTAGCTCAACAGGAGTTATGCTGTGAGTCTACATAGCTGCTTTTAAAAATATCTGCAACAGTAAAATTTGAACACTGTAAGACCCTTCTCTTACTAAATTTTCAAAGAAAGCAGTCCCAAAGTCAAATCTCACTGCTATCTAAGCAATGATATATTATGTAGATGGCTAGTTAGATAAGGTTTTTTTCAATAGAATTGTTGACTGTTTTTTATTGACATGGATATTATTCTTTCAGACTCTTGGAGTTAAATTATTTCAATATAAAATTTCATTTAGGTACCCCACCTTTTAAAGGATCCTAAACATTTAAAAGGCATACAAAGTTATTTTAGTGCCAGCCTCACATTCTAATTAAAGTAAGCTAATACTTGGACCAAAAATAGTTATCCCTTGCAAGATTTTTTATTCTTAGAACTTACATTTTAGTATAGTCTGAATCCATAAAATTATTGCCAAGCACAATAGAAAAGACCACTTTTATTCACTGAGTGAAAATCGTGTTTCAGATTTGCCACAACTTTCAGCCTGTGTCAACTGTCTGAAAGCACAACCTTTCACCTCAAACACATTTCCAAGAAGTCTTCCAGGTAGTCCATGAATAGAGACCACTTAAGACTGCTGCCTTAAAGAAATGATAGTTGAGGCTTCTCTGTCAACCTAAAAAATCTAGAAATATACACTACTATCTCCGTCATCACCAGGTCTTCCTTAAGATGGGGCTGTTTCACACCCACTTAATTTCCTTTGTAGTTTTGTGTTTCCAGCATCCTAACACTGGATCAACTATAAGTTCTTTATAGTTGCGTAATCTTCATTTTCCCTGATGAAAAGGGAGTTAGTTTAAATTTTTCCTGCTGATGCCTCTTGCTGTGGAATTGCTGAGGTCTATGGATCTGCCTCCTAGAGAAATTCTCTTCTCTGTGCCCTCATCTGTTCTGGAGCATTAACTTTAGTCTATTGTTAATTAAGGCAGTGGGCGCTGTAGCCATTGCCTGTGACCCTTGGAGCTTGAGAATATTGATTCCTTTGCTTTGTCACTCCTCCTAACACTGCTCTTTTCCACATATTTGGATTTCCTAGACTTTTAAAATTTTGTGCCACTTCTCAAACAGCAAAAAAAATATTTCACTTTCTTTTCTAAACCTTTTCCCCATGCACTAGTGAAGCTATCCCTCCACTGTCCTATTTATGTAAGTTAATTGTCTGTGTCTTTGAGAAATACCTAGGTGAGTTTTAGCAGTTCCAACCTGCTTTCTTAATTTGGCCTCCTTGTTCACTTTCTATAAGACTAGCATACTTTTTTCTATTTAAGTATTTTTTGAACTTTGCTTTGTTTATGGGCCAAGACATTTGTTTTTCCTAGCATATGCCTCTTGTTCTCTGTGTGTGGGGGTTAATTGATCATGAGAGATGTGAGTTCTAGATCTCCCAAATGCATCATTATTCAAACAAATCTCCTCCAATTTTATCTCCCTGAAGAAAAATCTACCTGTGAGATATTCTCCCATTGGAATTATACCAATACCAGAACATGACCTTGTCTGTGTTTTTTAGTAACTTCTTTTCCCTGTGCAGTCCGTTACTCTGAAGCCCCAACTTTATAAATTTCTTAGGCAAACACCCCCAAAGCAGTGGCTCTCCACTGCAGGTGATTTTGCCCCTTTCTACCCAGGGGACATTTGGCAAAGTTTGCAGACATCTTTGGTTGTCATAACTGGGGGATTTTTACTAACATTTAGAGGGTATAACTCTGAAAGCTGCTAAACGTCCTATAATGCACACAGTGGCTCCCACAACAATAATGTATCTGGTCCAAAAATATCGACAGTGTCAAGGTTAAATCTGTAATTTTTGTGATCCCTAGTCACAGATTCAGAAATGACTTCTATATTTTTTCAGTGGTAGCTCCATCATAAAGAACAATTAAGAGTGAGTTTATTTTCTTTATCTTGTTTTATCTTTATGCCCAGATCTTTTAATATACCATTCTCCCTTCCTTTTTGTAGAATCTGCCCACTGTAATCTCAACTTTCCTTATCCCTATATCTCTTACTTCCTCTAGTATAATCAATCCTAATTCCTTTATTTGTATTTTATTCTCCCACTGCTGCTATCCTGATGTTAAGTCAGAGACATTTAAAAAACGTGTTGAGTCACTTATTGATTTCTTGAGAAAATTTTATTCTGAAAGTCATCATGCAACCACAATAGACCTTTCAAGTGGCTTTATCAGCATTTGAATCCTTATTAATTTTATTGAATGTTTTTAAAATAAAAATTCTACAACACGGCATATTCCCTCATAAAGGTCTTTATTTTATGTGACCTGTTAACTGACACACTTGAGGCTGAAACTCTGAGTCTTCAAGCCCACATGGATTATGTAATAAGCAAATCTAGAGATAACTTGAGATGACATGAAATAATGTGACTCTTAAGGGCCATAAGAATCTCAGAGATTACCTTTTTACCATTTCATCCCTTGACTCTGAATACAATTTAAAACAAAATGTAACAGAACTACCCACTTACTTCTGACACCAAATCCCGAACTAGTTCTTAGTAACCAGCCTTAACCTAAAGCCCAATCTTGTGATTTAATTGAAAAATACAGTAAAAGCAGCAAAAGGTGATTGTGTGCATTAATGTCTGAAATGTCCATATTGTGAAGTGTTGCCATCTCAGAGGTGAAGTTTTACAGTGACCAAAAGATGTCTCTTTTCTTTAAGTAGGTGGTTATCAAAAACTAAGCTCCATACGGGGACTACTTGGGGAGTTTTCACACACACAAAATAATGTCTGTGTCCTATGTCAGAGATTCAGATGTAAACGCAACATTGCAGATCACAATTTCACCCCTGTTGTTAGGTCTCAAGACTTATGACCAATGTAGCCAAGCTTTAAAGTTTGGAAGTGATAGTCATAACCTTTGTTTCCCTGAATGCTCAGATCCAAAGAAAGGATGCATAGAGGAGTCAGAAAGATTGGGAGCAAAACAATAGCTTCATGAGTGCTAAAACTAAATTTATAACCATTTGAGAGTCCTAATATTTTCTCCATTGAATTAAATTTACTGATATAATTAAAAGCCAATGCTTACTCCCAGAAGTAGAGGAAGCTTTGAGTACTGACAGAGGTATGGAACACAGCTAAGCATGCTAAATTAGAAAATGTCACAATTTGGCCGGGCACGGTGGTGCAAGCCTGTAATCCCAGCAGTTTGGGAGGTTGAGGCGGGTGGATCACGAGGTCAAGAGATGGAGACCATCCTGGCCAACATGGTGAAACCCCGTCTGTACTAAAATTCCAAAAATATTAGCTGGGCGTGGTGGCATGCGCCTGTAGTCCCAGCTACCTGGGAGGCTAAGGCAGGAGAATTGCTTGAACCCAGGAGGTGGAGGTTGCAGTGAGCTGAGATCGTGCCACTGCACTCCAGCCTGGTGACAGAGCTAGACTCTGTCTCAAAAAAAAAAAAAAAAAAGAAGAAAGAAAGAAAATGTCATAATTTTATAGACTTACTCCATCTTAACTTAAAAATATATATACAGAATGTCTTTTATGTGAAAATGTTTTGAAAGGTGCTACAATAATATAAGAAAATAAAAACACCCTTAGGATGTTTAAAATCTAGCTAGAAAGGCAAGACACAGACATGAAAAACTAATCAGGAGTAGAGGGCATAACTCTTAGAAACAGTCAAAAATGATGGTTATGGATATGTAGTGCTCTAGTGTTCCTTTGAAAGTTTTAAAACTCCTTGTGAGCTGAAGTTGCAGAGGATTTTGTGGAGCTGGTGAAACTTGAGTTGGACATTGTTGAAGAGGATAAATATGGGGATACAAAAGGAGAAAAGGAATTAAAAAGCATGCCAACATTTTATTCAAGCAGGCCTGGCTACCTACTTTGCAGTGCAAAATGAAAATGCAAAGTACCATTTTCAAACTATTAAGCATATCAAGGTAATTACACCACAGCATTAAACCAAATACAGGGCCTTTTAAGTGTGGGGCCCTGTGTGACTGTAAGGTTGTGGGCCTGTGAAGCTTGCCATGCCATGGGTACAAATGAAGATGTGAGTGCCTCATTTGGGGTGGTCAGTGTGCTTGTCTTTTGTTTAGAATTTTTCTCAGGAAATGGTTGAAAGGTGGAGTCTTGCCTTCTTTTTTTTTTTTTTTTTTTTGAGACAGAGTCTTGCTCTGTCACCCAGGCTGGAGTGCAGTGGTGAGATCTTGGCTCACTGCAACCTCTGTCTCCCAGGCTCAAGCAATTCTCCTGCCTCAGCCTCCTGAATAGTTGGGATTACAGCCACCTGCCACCATGCCTGGCCAATTTTTATATTTTTAGTAGAGATGGGGTTTCACCATGTTGGCCAGGTTGGTCTTGAACTCCTGACCTCAAGTGATCCACCTGCCTTGGCCTCCCAAAGTGCTGGGATTACAGGCGGGGGCACCTGGCCCTGAGTGGGGAATCTGATGGGTCAGAAGCAGTCTGTTGGCAACTCATGAGTGAGGAGTCAATTGGGTTGATAAAACACCAGGAGAGTGTACATGCACTTGCCAAATGTGGAATGGCATAAGTCAAAGTTAAACAAGAATGGTGCACACACAGAAGAGATCTTGAGTAACTGAGCCCAAGTGAAATGGAAAGACATTATTTGGCTCTTAAAGATTTGAGGTAAAGGGGCAGATATGAGAAACAAAAGGAACAAAAGAACTGTGCTAGAAGCAAGGCCCTGTGAGGAGGAGGTTGCAGATGTGAGGAACAGGAGGGCTTACATTTCTGTTTTTCTGACGTGTTGCCTGGAGCAAGAGCAACAGGTGGAATAGTAGGAGTTCCTTTGAAATAGGATCCTTTCCTGATGAGCACTGAAAATGGTGAGAAGAAGCTTAGTTCAAAATACCTGTGGACAAATATTTGGAAGTATTAGACTCTGGTGGAAAATGCCTGAAGTAGATTTGTGTGTGAGCTGGAGTGATTCTGTAACATCAGCATAATTAGAAACTCTTCGGCATAAAGCATGAAGATGTAAGTTTTATTGGTGAGTAGTTTGTACTTAGAAGAATTTAAATAAGATATTCTTGAAATTAATAACTTTTTGATAAACATGATTTTATAAGACCATATAAATGGGATCCCTGTATTTTTTTTTAGCTTGGAATTGAAACTTAATATGAGTTTGAAAAAAGCTTTTGAAAGGTGATATCTAAGATAATCATAAAAAGAATATGTTGCTTTAGTTTTTCCCTCAGTTTCAACAGAATGATATAAGAAAGAGTGTGGACTTGGAAGTTAAATATTTCTGATTAGTCTTCAGAATGTAATTCTGTATATTAGTTGTCCTTTTCCTAAAAGAGAAAAAGAAATAGGCTTATCCATTTATTTTGGGATGTGTGTATGCATTTCTCTGTCTTTATGTATGTATGTGTCTGTGTTTATCTGTTTCAGTTAGAATTAGAGGAAATATATTTCTATAAATGTGCTGAGTATAATTTCTTGTATAAAATATATAATATTTACTCTTTTCTTTGTATTAACTCCTATCTCTCATTCCTACTATTTTTTCTCAGTATTTTTCCAAAAGAGTCATTCAGTAACCCTTTTTACCTTATACATATAAATTTGGCATTTCCATCTTAATTAAATCTAGAAACTTTTTAGATTTATAACCTTTAGTCAGCTCAAAAACCATCACAGACACTTATAATAAGTAAAGAATAACCGCCAAACTTTTACTACATAAAATATAAAACCATTGGATTTTTAAAAGGAAAACTCATTACATTTAAATTGTAGAATATCTTAAACGTAAACTTTTCAATTCTGTCATTTGTACCTAAAGAAACCAAGTTATATAAAGGTGTAAAAAGAGGGATTTGGGAAAACAATTTGGTTAACAGTTGAATTAAAGTCTTCTGCTGGTCTGTGAAATGATGCTTATACCCTGTGACAGGGAGGCATGTTTAGGAAGGGACAAGAGAAAAAGAAAGAGGCTATATTCATACTGTTTCTCTAAGTTGCAAAACATGGCACTAGAGAGAAAAATAGAGCATACAATAAAAAGAAATTTGATAACATTTAAAATGTAGTGAGAATCACATTTACATATTTTATTTGTGGATACAATTGAAAATACAAACACCATACAAATACAACACTCTTAATTATAAAGAGATGTAATGGGTTCTTTGGTTAATGTAAACTTTTTCAAATACTTAAATGTGTTACATTTTCATCTTATAGAATCCTGGTGAAATATTCATAATTTTGAGAGATGAAGTAATTGGTGATACTGTGGAGGTTGAATTTACATCAAATAATAAGCACATTAGAACACGGCCGGCACTTTGGGATAAGAAAGTCTGGTGCATGAAAGCTTTAGGTAAGAATGTTTATGATTTATAAGTATAAAACATCACCCTGAGTTCCTTCCAATAAATTTATGATAAATGGTTTCACTTCCCTACAAAAACTAATATTGTTCTGCAGGTGTTTCCTGTGTTTAGTTTTCACATACTCAAAGTTGTTATTATTAATCTGGATTTGCAAAGGTAAGAACGTGTAAATTACGAGAAATGAGTTTGTATACTGTGTAGTGAAATGACATTCAGTAACATCATACATTTTTAAATATGTCGGCAGAGAGCACTTTAATATCTGGCAACTACTAAACATATAACTAAAATTGTTTTCTTTGTTGTGACATTTGGATGAGCAATTTATTTTGATTTTTATTAATAAACTTTATTTGTTTTCCTTTTCTTTTTTTTCCTCCAAGTCTTTGGTATATTTTTGTTGCTCTGGAAAGTATTTTTTCCCATTATTTTATCAGTTTGGTGCAATTTATACATATAATCTTCTCATCTTTTCCTCATTTCACTTACAAAGCTAATCATTTCATTATCCAGCTTTGCTTATAGCATAATAAATTGCATCAGATTTAAAATTCCAGATGGACTAACCATATTTGCCACAATGGTTGTACTAAAATCAAAATCTAATATTAATATGATACTAATTTCTGGATATTTTCATATAAATGTAAGACTACATGGTTTTTACATTATGATATCTTTTTATGATCAGAGAATAAAATCACCTTATAAAACCTCATAAATGTGAATTTTATAAAATATTTTGAGACAAAAAGATGCTAAATCTTATGAATTTAAAAATATAGCAATATATTTAAAATTAAAGATCATGTCAAACACATCCTGAACATTTTTTCCTTTTAAAATATAGCTATTATGCGGTTTATTTACAAAACATTTACAGACTTTTGTTTGTTTGGAAAGCATGTGTACCCTATATGGATTTTCTTGCACAACTTAGGCTGCAGTTGGATTATAAAAAGGAAAGACTTCATACCAAACATTTATGAACATTTCAGACACTGCTTTTTGTCATGGATAAGCATATGTAGAAGTGAAATGAGAAAAATTCTGTCTCTTTTCTTGTCTCAATGCTGCCTACTTCATTATATCACATTATTAAGTGGTTTAATGAATAAAATTTTCTAACTAATTAGTTTCAGAATTTAGATTTAGTTAGACTAAAGTCACTATAGAGACATCACTGTTGCAAATTAAGAAGCAATTAAATGATATTTCCCAAACAGCAGATCAAGTAGTCAAAGATAATAATTCACATTACTTAAGAATTTTTGCTCACTGTACCTAATGGCTAAGAACAGTATAAAGAATAAAACATATCAAAGTTTAAATTAATTATAAGAAAAGCAGAAAACAAATATGTCATGCTTTCCAAGATATAACGGGACATAATATTGTCTCCATGATTAAACAACAAATCTGTAGTAAACAGATAAATAAACCACTATCTACCAGCTATCATAATTAAACTTATTTAATTCTTTCAACTGCTGTATTCTCTAAATTGATGAGAAATTTTTTCCCAAAATGTTGGTTGCTATGTAGCAATATTCAGGATGGTTGCATTTACCTGTTTGGGAGTATGGATGGAAAATGCCTCAGCAGAAATAGGCCCAGAGACTTATTTTCTCTGCTTCATGTCACTGTATTTTGAAATGTTTTGAACGCTACTAAGAACAACTAGTAAGAACTACATTTTACATCATGACCCAGTACCTATGCACAGATAAGGAAAACAAAGGTTTTACAAGTAATATTTAGACTAATGGTTTTAGCCCCAACATGTAAAGAGCCCATTTTTACAAGAAACAGCTCAACAACTACAAATCAACCACATTTCTTGAACCTGTTAGAGAACTAAAGTTGCAAAGTGTTAGTTGAAGGTGTGATACATTTTCTCACCATCATAAGGCTTACAGCTGTCACTCCTATAATAAAAGACAGATTAAGAAGAGAAAAGCATAACAAATTTATTTAATCAAATATGTATGACAACCTTCAGAAATGAAGACCCAAGGACCCAGGGAAAACTGTCCGTTTTCATGTTGAGGTTCAACAAAGAATAAACAACCATGTAGAATAGTGAGTGAGCAAAAGAGTATGAACTAGTGGTAACAGGCTTGAGCGGAGGAGGATCCAGTAAGGCCTTCCCCTTCAGATTTTCGTTGGCTTCTCTGTGTGACATGCCTTCCTACCAGGTATGGAGCAGGCTTTCTCTGAAATGAGGATCTTTAAGGAAGAAGAAAGAAGGGAGAACTTTCTTGATTTTGTGGTTTTCTTTGGGAAAGAGGAGTTCTAGTTTCTATGACGCACCTAGGGGAAGAGGAATTCAGGCTTCTATGACTTGATCAGGGGCAGAAAGAACAGTGGGAGACAGGAGGATGGAAGGTCAGAAAGACCTTGCTTCTGAAGCCCTTTCACTCTTCTTTAGCTCAAAGTATGGAGCACACCAAGACGTTATACTATGAGCTCTGACAAGGGCAATTCACTATTCCAAAAGCTGGAGAAAAAGATGAATTAAGAGAGTGCCATTTGAAATCTGCTAAAGCAGAAGCCACTGGAGTCACAAACTGGTGGGAGCACTTAAGTGTTAATTTTGATGAATGTCTGAAAGCTGAGTATGGATCAGTTTGAGAGTGAGAAACTCCTGGGGTCAGTAGTTTTAGGAGGTCCCTATGCTTTTGTAGGATTTACATCCATTAATTCCATCAGGTTCTAACAGTGAAGATCTGAGAAAGAGCCCATTGAACCTCTTTCTCAGAGGAAGCCCATGGAGTCAGAGGAAGAATAATCATTGTGAAATACACCCAGCATGTTTTCCACAGCACAGGCCTACTCTCCAGAAGAAAATACTTCACCAGAGCCTCATTGCAGCTGGAAAAGGACATCATCTCACTATGGCTCCCTCTAGCCTTCGTCTCTCACTTAATGGGGGTTAGGGGAGGCTATGCCACAGCAAAAACACTTGTAAAGTCACAGCCAAGAGTCACTAAAAGAATAAGACTTAAGAATATAGAATGCTTTCCTTCCCCACTACCTTATGGTTACCACAACAGGATTCCACCGTAATGACAGTAGATTATTATTTAAGAAAACAAATACACAAACAAACTTAAAAAAAAAACAAAAAAACAAAAAAACAAGACTCAGACTCTCTCTAGGTAAAGTACTTAGAAAAGTACGTAATAAAAAAGAGAGACAGAAACAAAAATGGTAGAGGAATTTGAAGCCACTTGTACTGATAGCTACAACAAACATTAAATACAATCCAACTCCTAAACAGATTCTTATAAATTCTTTTGCTACACGACTATTTACCGTATGTCTAGTTATAAACCAAACATTGCAAGGCATTCCAAAAGGCAAGATAAAATACAATTTAAAGAGAAAAAACATGCCTCAGACTATAATTAGATGTGACACAGGTGATGAAATTTTCAGAGAGGGATTTTAAATATGGTGAAGATATCAAGGGATCTTATAGAAAAAGTAGACAACATTAAAGAATATATTGATTATATAAACAGAGAGAAATTTTGAGAAAGAATCAATAGGAAATGCTAGAAAACAAAACCACTGTATCTGAAATTTAAAAAGTAACTTTAATAGGTTCATTTGTAGACTTGACAAAGGTGAGAAAAGAATCATTGAATTTAAAGATAGGTCAATGAAAACTTTCCAAACTTAAATGGTAAAGAGAAAAAAGTATTTTTTTTTAAAAGACAAAACATCTAAGAAATGTGTGACAATTTGAAAAGGTATAACATACATGTAATTGGAATACAAGAAGAATGAGAAAATGAAGCACAATAAATATTCACATATTAAGGACAGAGATCAAAACACAGATATAGGAAGCTCAACCAACACAAAGAAAGATAAATATAAAATATTGACACCTATTCATATTACATTAAAACTGCAGAAAACTGAAAAGAGGAAATCTTGTCCGAAGCCAGAGAAAACAAATACCTTACCTGTAGAGAAACAAGTATAAGAATTATGTTGAATTTCTCTTGAGAAATCACACAAGCAAGAAAATAGTAGAGTAAAATATTTTAAGTATTGTGAAAAAAAGAACCCACCAATCTAAAATTCTATATTCAGTGAAATGATCCTGAATATAGAATGAAGAGGAAATAAGGACTTTCTCAAACAGAAAAATGAAGGAATTCATTACCAGCAGACCTGCCCTGCAAGAAATTTTAAAAGAAGTTCCTTGGGGAAGAAGGGAAATAATATAGGTCATAAACTTAGATCTACTAAAAGAAAGAACATCAGAGAATAAATGATGGTAAATGAATGAAGGTAAAAGCAAAATTGTCATTTTCCTCATTTTTAATTGATCTAAAAGATAAATATGTGTCTGAAGTAAACACTATCAATGTGTTGGGTGGTTACAGCATATGGATAAATGAAATTAATGGCAACAATATCATAAGGGACAAGAGGGACTTAGGTTTGTGAAAAATGCATATTTCAGACTTTAGGACAATCATTAATTTTTTAAAAAAAGCTATAAATGGCAGGCTAACAGGAGAGAAAGGGAATTATATACAATTTTCAAATAATTTTGCGAAAGAGCAGAAAAAGTTGTGGTGGAGAGGGGGAACAAAGAAAAATGTAGGGAATTTAAAAAATTACAAGTTTAATAGATATAACCCAACTACGTACTGAAGCCAAGTAGTAACTGCTTAAGCTTAGTGAATAGTCTAAGAACACCAATTAAAAGACAGAGATTGCCAGAATGAATAATAGATGCAACAATATATCATCTGTAAAATCTCAGTTTAAATACTAAGACACAGGTAAATAAAAAATGAAAGGGTGGAGCAAGATTGGTGCAAAAGTAATTGTGATTTCGCCAATGGCATTGAAAGTAATGTAATGTAATTGGAATACAACAAGAATGAGAAAATGAAGCACAAGAAATATTCAGATATTAATGACAGAGATCAAAACACAGATACACCAACCTAATACCATG